TCTTCAGCAAGATCCTTTCTCTTTAATTGATTGATTCACTTCAAATTTTAAAATAATTGCATTTCTGGTCGGCTTAAATCTGAACTTCCAGTGAGCTAAGCGAGTCACTGAGCTGCTTTATGAGCTTAATTAGCTAATGAAGTGCTTGTTATCAGAGCCAAAGATTTCTTTGACGCAAATTACTAACACCTAGAAATGTAAATAACCCCCCAAAATGAGTTCTGAGAAAATCACATTGGCTAATTTATTTTAAGCACAACTAATGGCTTATATTGCTTGGCCAGTTAGTATCGATTTATTTTAAGCAGTAATTAACCACTGTGTGAGTAAGAAATATATTATCTTTCCTCTGTAAGAATATGTAGTCATAAAGAGGAATCAATACTGATCCAACTAAGCCCCACTGTACCGATAAATTGCCACTGTTTGCATTTATTATTTATGCTGTTTCTTAGGTGTCCGAGTACATAATATACAAGCACTTTTTTAATTAAAAAGTGATAAGACATCCAGTTAATTTATGGGCAGCGGCGAGCCAGTCTGTGAGAGCCTGGTGGGGCAGAAGGGCCGGCTGCTCACAGGGCTCCAACCCAGCTGTGTTTGCCTCTCCCATGCAACGTGAACACCAATGGATCCTTGTTCACCCCACATCACCTGCTGCCATCCAAAACTGTGCTTCTGGGGCAGGGAGTTGGCCTGGACCTGGTGCACCACCCATGGCTTTAATGGGGACCAACACCTGCAGGTGATGTTCAGCGCAACATCTCCACTCACCCCTGCAACTCCATGTAGTCTACTGGACAACACGGGATAGCCTAAAAAAGCCTGTACAACCTAGTGGGCCAGCACCTTATCATAGAATCATAGAATCATTAAGGCTGGAAAAGACCTCTGGGATCACCAAGTCCAACCCCAAACTACCATGCCCACTGACCACAGTGCCACATCTCCACTGTTCTGGAGCACCTCCAGGGACGGTGACCCCACCACCTCCCTGGGCAGCCTGTTTCACAATATATACCCTTCAAGAGCCAGTACAACCTTGTAGGCAAGATCCACATACCTTAAAATTGACTCTCTGATGACCCAAGCTGTATAACACTGTCTCAATCCCTGTTGCTTACCTACAGGTGTTCTGAAGAACCCAATCAGCAACCATCGCTGCTGCTGCTGCTGGGGAGCTCCCCTCTCCTAACAAGGTTTCCCAAGCAAATCCTCCTTGCCTCCAGGGCTGTTATTTATTTTCTTTTTCTTTTTCTTTAAATATGGAATTCGGCTGTTCTAATCAGATGGCATCAGATGGTCTAAGGTCGCTTTTATGATGATGATGATTATTTTTTAAGCATGTTATTTATTTACGGTGTTTTTGCTGCGTATTTTAGCAAGGTGAGATTTTGCCCGAGGGTCGAGCATGCACACAGGCTCCACACAATCGCCTTCTACCAGGCAGACACGATAAGCAGATGGGCATAAGAGCAAACTCTTGCCACTTATTTCCCTCTTGATATTTTAGTGTTACAGGACTACAGTGTTCATGGTGGAGTTTTTTTTTTGTTATCATCTTCTGTTCCTACAGTGAACAGGGATGCTCAGCGTTCCTTAATTTCACAATATATCCCCCATAACTTACCTTCTACCTATGTCCTCTTGTAGTCTCTACTCACAAGTCCCAGTTCCTGGAGCCTCGTGATTATTCAGTGATTAAAGAACTTTTCTTCAACAACAACAAAAGGCTTCTCTTCCTTGTGACTGGAAGGAGCTGCTGGTATGAAACTCATCTGTGAAAACAACTAACATGCAACATTCTAAAACACTGTGGTTTTTCCAAATCCAGTCTTATGATTCGTCGTGTTGGCTGAGGAGAGGGGAAATCTGCCTCGTGATTTTTGGTTCTTGTTAGCATTGCTGTCATGGTTGTTATGTGTGGGAATGCGGCTGGTGAAGCTGCACAGCTCATTTCCCTCTCTCTCCCGAGATACTGCCTTAAGCTTGGAAATCCCTCAAGATGAAGCTGTTATTTTGAGTGTTTTTATCAGGCTGGGCCAGGAGCTTGGGTCTGTCTGGGAAAATAACCGTGCTGTAGGGCTGGAAACACCAATGTCCCCAGCTCAGGTGGGATGCAGGCATACACACAGCCAAGGCCTTCCTTCAGCCAAATGACCAATTACTTATCAGACCAATTCTGCAGCTCTAATGCAAAGTATCAGTACAGCACTGCCTTTCCCTGCAGGACTTTTCATAATGAAGATGGTGAGACTTTGGAAGGAATTGTCCAGAGAAGTTGTGGATGCCCATCATTGGCAATGTTCAAAGTTGGGTTGGATGGGACTTTGGGCAACCTGGTCAAGTGGGAGGTGTCCTTGTCCAGGACAGTGGGTTGGAATGAGGTGGGCTGTGAGGCCTCTTCCAAACCAAATCATTCTATGGTTCTGGCACACGCAGGTGTTTTGAGACATGGATCAGGGAGGACAGTTCTGGTAGACTCAAGCTTTTGCTTGACCTTAGAACTTTGAGGATAGTCAAATGACATATCCTGCAAGAGTCCAAGTATATCTAATTAATACTCTTATTTTTATCTATGCCATTTCTGTCTATATCACCTTGCCCGGTGAGGCTGTGGATGTCCCCTCCCTGGAAGCATTGAAGGCCAGGCTGGATGGGGCTGTGAGCAGCCTGGTCTAGAGGGAGGTGTCCCTGCCTACAGCAGGTTGGAACTACATGATCTTAAATGTCCCTTCCAACCTAAATCATTCTATGAGTCTATGATCACAGATAATTATAGGTAACATTAATAATATTATGCCATGCTATTATGCATGCATAAATAGAGCAAGGTAATTTTACACTTAACCAGAAATGCAATGGGAAAAAAAAATGGCAGTGATCTAATGGTTGTGAGTAGAATATCTAAAAATATATTCAGAAACTGGAATTGCTGTGAGGAACAAATATCTACATAATGACGTTTCTCTTAAATATAGCAGAAAAGGATCACAGCAGCAATTTTTTCCAGTTAACTCAGGCAATATGAGGTGAGGCCGTCCCACTGTGTCTTCTCTGTTTACCAGCTCTGATGGCCTGATACCTTCAGCTGGGAAAACCCTGCCTGGAGAACCCAGGAACAGGGATGAATTCATGGGGATGCCACCAGCCCTGAGGTCTGGGATCAAAGGACCGGCCCTTCCCAACAAGAGACTTCATGGACAAAACAGAGTGGTGGCACAAGTTTGGGAAATCTCTTGGAAGTCAATGGGATTGATTTGCACAGATTTAAATTTGTTTCAAAATTTAAAAACAAAAAAATGCTTTTTTGAAACAAGAAAATAGAAAATTATTACCTCCAGACAAAAGGTAGCCCTGTTTTTCTCTGCACCAAGGAGCTTTGATGATGTTTGGGACCAAACCTGAGCAAAGCCCAACAACAGCCTCCACTGAAGCTGCAGAAGACATAGGACACAAATCTCTGTTGGAAAAGACCACAAAGGATCAATAGATCTCATTTACAATGGGAAACTGAAGGACGACTGGAGTACTCAGCAGCTGTGCAGACCAAGCAGGGTCATTGGTGAAGATTGTGGGTCTAAGCTGTAAGCACCAAGCTTCGGAGAAATGAAGGAAAAAGAGAAGGAGTAAAATCTGGGGAAGTGCTTTTATCACAAACTCTTGTCCTCAGAAAGCTATGGCAATAACAAATGCATCTTCCAGCACATAAAGAAGAAGAAATAAAGGTTAAAACTGTGTGGATCGTGTAGCTGTTTTTCTGTTGTTTTTTCTTTTTTTTTTTAACCTTTTTACTTTAATTGCCAGTTGTGATGGCAGAGAAAAAATATGTAAAAAGCAAGAATAGCTAAAAATAGGTCAGATAAAAGGCAGCATATCTAGCCATAAATTATCCAGAGCCCAATAAAAGCTCAGTGAATGAGACAGTGGAATGTGTGGGGGCATGAAGACATAATGATATTAAATTAGAGCTTGCCTTCAAAACTGGAGAGGGTTGTGAATTACTCTCATTTAAGAGCCTTGCAGTAATCGATAGTGGCTTTTGCTGCCTGTGGACAAAATCTCATAAATCCCCTTTTATTGCAGGTGTCTGTGCAAGAAGAATATGTGTGATGGGGGCTTCGAGGAAGGGGAGTAATGTGGATGAAGTGTCCGTGCTCAGGCTGTGCTCCTCCTGCCCCCACTCCCAGGGTGCTCAATGCTCGCTGTGCTAATTGCCGTGCCGTTGCACTTAGGAGGTAGAATGCTGTCAAGCTAGGCTCCCTCTGGAGAAATTAAATGCTCTGCCTAAACTGCATGCACCATCAGGCATATTCGTAATGGATCGCTGGGCCTGAGTCTACTCTCACTGGTGTAAACCTAACGTAGGAACAAGAGTTTTCCTTCATTAAATCCAGAGATCTCCTAGCTTGGGTCCAAAGCGTCCACATTCTTCACTTCTGAAGCCAGCAGTACCTAGCAGAGCTGCAGAGTATGTTTCCTACAAGGCCTGTCGCTTTGCACGTTGGCTCCATCTGTAGACTGCTACTTTGTCCATGCCTGGACATCCATCTTATTCTGCTGAGAAATGTTGGTGTCTTGGTTTTTAATGCAGGAGACAGTGGTGTGTCAGGTGTCTCTGGGTACAGAAATACCTGCATATTCTGGTGTCTCACAGCCTAAACTTATTACAGGACACAAAACTCAGGACCTCTTAGCACGCGTGGGACCTATAACATAAATACAGTGTACAATGTACAAAGTACAAGTACAGTGTGCCGCAGTAAAACAGGAAAGCACAAAGGAAAAACTTATTATCTAAAAGGCTGGTTATGCATTGGCACAAGCTGCCCAGGGAGGTGGGGGAGTCACCACCCCTGGAGGTGTTCCAGAACTGTGGGGCTGTGGCACTGAGGTAATGGGCATGGTGGGGGTGGAATGGTAAGCTGATGATTGGACTAGAGGCCTTTCCAAATTCACTGATTCTATTTTTCAGTACCGTAGAAAAAGGTAACAAAAGACAGCATTCCCCGGACTGCTCAGGATGGACCTCTTTGCCTTCCTGTGGTGTTTGCATTGCTTCTTGCATGTTAATAATTAACAGGAATCTCTTAGGCCAGTACCTCAGGAGCTGCGTGCATCTTCCTGATGGGCTTTGCAGGACAAGCCTTCACCCCAGAGGAACATGGACCACTGGGAGGTGAGCAAGGACAGGGCTTAGCTCTGCAGTGAGGACACAAAGCCACACTTTGGCAAGAGGAAAGCTGGAGTTACCAGGATCTTTGGAAGGAAACTGAGACCCGGTGTGCCTTGCTCAGCCAGGGCTTTGGGCATGTGAGAAAGCAGCAACCAGCAGTTATCTGCATTCCTCTCATTCCACCAACAAAGTCTCCCCGCAGTTCATTTCCTCTAGAAAGGTATTAAGGAATATTAGAGGGATAAGAATCTGCTCATTAAAGATATGTCCAGCAGATCCCTTGCTCACAAAAGGAAAGACTGCAGGGCTTAATTTACCCAATTGTTGATGATTGATTAGCAGAGCCATTTAAAAATGTTTTTGATCCTCCAGTCCCCACATTACAAGCATGGCTGGGGCTGCAGGGCTGGACTGCTCCCAAGTAATCTCGGAAGCTGAGGGAGCTTGGAACAAGATTTTATTAATACTCCAATCGATAAGCACCAGGGAGCAGAAGAAGAAAAGCATTCTGCCGTATTGCATCAAGGGTGGCAGGTTTTCAGCGGGCTTGGACAGCTTCCTTGGCTGCAGAGCACCTTGCAGAGCTGTGTGCTGGTCATGCACCATCCCTGGCAGCCCGTGCAGTTCTAGCAATGTGCAATGGGCTTGGAGCTGCTGCTGCATGGCTGCTTGCTTCTCTGCTGCTCCATGTCAGGGGGAAACATGGGGCAAGGAAGGCTGGGATACAGCTGCTTTGAAACGTGGGCAGGCTCCCTTGCCAAGATGTTTTTAATTGAGCCTTTTCATCTCCATCTTTCATCTTTCAGGCTAGATACTAGGAAAAAATTCTTCTCAGAAGGAGTGGTGATGCAGTGGCACAGGCTGCCCAGGGAACTGGTGGGGTCACCATCCCTGGAGATGTTCCAGAACTGTGAAGTTGTGTCACTGAGGGACACGGTCTCGGGTTGGACTTGGTGATCTCAGCAGTCTTTCCTAACCTTAGTGACTCTGTGAATCAGTGGTGGTACCCAGTTCCCCTCACTTTGCATGGCCTCCATGCCAGTCCTGGTCACAGTTCCCTTTTCAGACAATGGACAGAAGCAGACACTTGTAAAGTGTGATTTATCTGCTCTGTTTTAGACATGTGCACTGGGATGCATTGTGTGCTGGGCCTCCATTGCCCAAATCTGTTTACAGAGAACTGGACTGTTAAAAAATAACAGTGACAGTCAATGAAGATGCCTGAACAGCTCATGGTGGTTGGGTGCATTGCATATGACCAGCCATTAAAATGAGATTCAGAAGACTAACATGAAAGACTACGGCCTTTTTGCTGTCCTAAGATGTCACAGTTGGCATCTTGCTGCAGCTCCAGAAGCACACAGATCACCTGTAAACTCAGTATAATCTGGATCTGTTGCCTGCCAGGTGTACATGAATGACTGAGATAGTCTGGGACATTTCAGATGGCCTCAGCCATCTGTATTTAGGCTTTCCTTATCCTGCCCACAGACAATTACGTCAGACCCAAATTAGTTATGCTGGTTCTTGTCACTTAGCAAAGATTCAGTGGAAGACATTAGCACTCCCTTGACTTTCAGTGCTAACATGATTTTGAAGATTCAGTGTCTAAGAGCAGAGCCCAGTTGCGCTGGGCGACAAACAGCTCAAACGGATGGAAAGATCAGCTGCACATTTTTTTGCTGTGTGAAGGAGACAAGTGGCTGCAATGAATCTTTCTGTGCAACTTTCAGCTTGGATTTTCCTTGTGGTGAATCCTAACACTGAGACTGAACTTCACAGGCATTCGGTGGAATGTGTTGCTTTGTCATGGTGGAAGACTGGAGTCCTTTGTCCCCAGTCAATCAGTTTAACAACAAGCCTGAAAATTCTATAAATCCTATGAATCCTATAAATCCAGCCCTCCCTCCTAAGAGCTCACACTAAGTGATTAAGAGAGAAGTTATGCAGCAACATTTCTTTGCAGCACAAATAGATCTGATGCACAGATATGTCTGCCAACCGGGCAGCAGGACGAGGATGGCTGGTAAAGTTTCCAGCTTGTTCTTCTACATCAAGGTGCAGTCTGCAAGCTGTGTGCATTCTGGAACATGTTCTGCCCTGGGATATGAATGGGCAGCTCCCATTTCCAACGCCCTCTCAGACCTGGAGGAGTTGAACTCACCCTCCACATCACTCATTGGTTGTATCCTAGGGGTGCTCACAGTCAAAGTGCAAGAAATCTATGGGAATCTTTTCTTCCTCTTAAATATAGCCTTGAGGGTATTAAAAAGATGAGTCTTACGCAAGAGAGAGATCCCATTGCCCAGCGTTGGGTGCAAATTGCAAGAAGAGAGTTCACTTACCCAACAAACTGTCTTTCTGGGCAAAAGGAGAGTATGTAAGAGAGAAGCAACATGCCATAGGCAAAAGACCTTTGTAAGGCAGGACACAATCCCTGCACTTTGGCATTCCAAAATTAAAATCTACCAAAGACTTGCTCCTCTGGACCTGAAATCCTGCTGGGTCCATGGGAGCCTCAGTTTCCTCTCTGCAATAATGGGGCACTAGAACTTTTTTGTGCTGTTGGAGCTCTTCTACTGCTTGCAGATTGTTCAGACAACATGCATGCTCTAAACATACTGAGCTGAGGAGTATATAAACTAGCTATGCACATAAATTCAAGGATTTAATAGGGGAAGAAGGAGGGTTTTGTTTGTGTATTTTTTATTACAGGATATAAGCAGGCAAATAAACAATTTTCCATGTAGTCTGAACTTTAAGGCAACCCAAATCTTTTCCCACTGTCTTTCAGAGTCCTGTTCAAAGTCAGAGACAAACAAGGGAGCAGATATGCATTTATTTTATTTCTCTGCAAAGAAACAAACAAGCACAAAATAGTTGAAAGTTAGGATGAGGAAGAAAGCAGCTATTCTCACCTCTTAGGTCTGACAGTGATGCAGTTTCTCTTCATTTCCTGGTTTAGGGTTCACCAGCCTTTAGGTGTCCAAAGCATAAATTCTCCAAAAGGACCAATCATGGCAGGCTTCTTTAATGGGAAGGAATGGAGCATGAGTCATCTGATCTTGTCTAAACAATTGTAGACAGTGAGTCCATCTGGGAAAAGCACTGCAGTGGGGAGATGCACTGGCAGTCATTCACACTTGTGGGCTCAAAATTAGAGGCTCAGATGAGAGGACAGGATTCCGATTCTTGTCATATGGCTCCAGAATTACAGAAGTGGACACCTTGGAACTGCAAATCAAAGGGCAGCAAGCTTCAGCCCACCTAGGTGGTGCTTAATATCTGTAGCCTCCATCTAAGTTAGTCCAGGATCTCATTACAGTCAGTGGAGGCCCCGGTTCATCACCATTACAAGCTGTCATTGCGTCATTTCGGCCCCAAGCCAATTGTGAGACACGATCATACAAGAACCATCTCATTCCCACCCTGAAACACCTCCAGAAGAAAGTTGGACATGGATCCATTAAGCTGTTAATGCAGAGTTTGGCTCAGCCTTGATGTAGGTGTAAAATTGTCATTCACTTTCTTAGGGCATCTCAGCAGTCCAGGAGCACTGATATTCATGAGAGTTCAGCTTTTTTCACTCTCGTAGGGCAAATTAAGCCTCTTCCCTCCCACCTTGGATTTACCACCTGAACTGGGAAATTTGCTACTCTAGAAAAGATACAAAATGAACTCCACAAAACAGCTATGAGTTTCTTCTGGAAAATCTGTGCTTCTCAGAAACAAACTTTTGAGCCTGGAGACAACAAGTAATGTGTTGAAAAGAAATTCAGTGAGCTACGGGGAAGGGCAAATTCTTGTCCATGTTTCAGTAAGTCACAAGGTGCAATAACTGACCATGGTGTTGAATGCAAGTATGTACTCTGGATCAGTTGAATGGCTCTCTGAGTTTGGTTAATCAATTACAGGACAATGTTGCCTGCTATTGCCTTTTCAATAGAACCTTCAATACCTTCAGAAAGAAGGTTTGGTTTGTTTGTTTGGTTTTTAAGATGCATTTTATTATGGAAGGGACATAGTGTCTGTGGTCCTCTCAAACCGACTTAATATGGATTCCCACCTTCCTCAGGTCCTTCAAGAAGGGATGACAGGCTGGTAGAATAGTGGACTAACAAGACAGAAAAGAACCAGACTGCCCAGCACATTAAAAGAAGACTAGAATAAGTTTTCAAAGAACATATCTCAAAGGATCTTCAAAGGATCTTCAAAGAACAACACCCAAAGGACAGGGATGAGAGGATGTCATGGAGGTAGGAGTACACTTTCTGGCAACAGTTTGTTGGGACATGTTTAGGTCCCTATACATTCTCTCTTTCCAGACATAGCTAGGCATCCTTCAGCAAGAATTATTTAAGCAGTGGTAGTTTGTTCTCCTCAGTATCTGAATTTTGCTCAGAAAGATTAAGAAAAAAACAACACTGGAGACTGAAAATTGTTGCTTATGCTTTGGCATGTAATCCAGCAGACTGCCTTTCTCATCCTGTCCCACTGTGCTTCCATATCCACTCCAGTTTGAGCTTGAGATTATCTTCATACATTCCTCTTTCCAAGAGAAGGTCCCACGTGGGGTGACACATGGGGGCATGGCCTGCCAACAGACGGCAGCACGAATGATGTCCTACGGGTACCTCGGTCTGTCTGGATAACTCATAGAATCACATAGCCATAGAGGTTGGAAGGGACTTCGGAGATCATCGAGTCCAACCATCTGCTAAAAGCAGATTCCCTGCAGTAAGTTGAGCAGGGAAAGTGTCCAGTTGGGTCTTGAATATCTACAGAGAAGATACTGAGTTACTTTGAAGAAAAAAAAAGTTGGAGGGGTTCCTGGTGTTAATCACACATTTTCCTCGAGCAACTGAAAAGTCTGAGTCAATCCTGATGTTTTGCTAACTTTGTCTTCTGGATCCCATCAGCAAGGCTGGTGTCCCTGATTGTGACCCAGCCCTTGCTTGGCAGGTTAGTGGTTGCCTAGTAAGTTCATTCCATCAGAGAAATCTTGCTGTTTGTTCTCCTCTGCTGTCATTTGTCAGTCACAGAATCACACAATCACTATGGTTGGAAAAGACCACTACGATCCCAAGTCCAGCCCCAACCCACCCACACTGTGCCCACTGAGCACGTCCCTTAGCTCCACCTCCAGGGATGGTGACTCCACCACTCCCTGGGCAGCCTGTGCCACTTCATCACCACTCTTCTGGAGAATAAATTTTTCCCAATATCCAACCTGAACCTCCCCTGGCACAACTTAAGGCCATCACCTCTTGTCCTGTCACTGTTCCCTGGGAGAAGAGGCTGACCCCATCTCACAGCAACCTCCTTTCAGTAACAGTGCAAGAAAGACGGTCTAACTCCATGCTGCAGCCTCCTTGAAGAGAAATCAATCCTTTAATTAGGCAACTGCTCCAAAAGTACTGGGGCTACTCATATTGCTGGGCACAGAGTGGAGGGATTTTGGAGAAGACCTCAGCAGTGCAACACCTGGAACAAAGACTCAACAGCAGCGTGAGCAACACATCATAAATGTCCCCTATCCAACTTTGAATTAAACACCCACTCAGCTAAAACATTTGAATGATGAACATCATCATTTGGGGGTGAGGAGGGGGAGGGAAATCTAGGCGGCTTTATTTTTTTCCAGTGTTACAGAAAGTATTTCCTTCCTCCTGCAGATGTGCAGCTCGGCGCTGGAAACAGTTACCCGTCGAGTTCAAGCAGCTGCACTCATGTGTCACCAGGCTATGAAACACCAGCCCCGAGCTGTCAGCTCCACCATTGAAATTAATGGGCCAGACTGTTTACATTACTGGAAATCATCCCATTTAAATATATATGTTATGCTGAATACGTAACACAACTGTGAATTGGCAGTGTGGAGAGAAGGGGATCGGGTCTGGAGAAGGGAAGTTGGAGGGGGACATGACAGGGTGTAAAAGGAGAAAATCCGGGAGATTTCCCTCGGGGAAAAGATATTAATTTGATGAAAGAAGTGTAAGGAAAGACAAAAATTGATCAGATAGCACTGGAATGAGAGAGATAAAGGGGACAATCGTTTTATGTATGGATAAAAGGATGGATAGATATGTGAGCTCTGTTCAAGAATAAACTCAGGGTGGGATCGTATCAGTGTCCCAAGCACCAGAGGTCACTGGGATCAAATATCTCCAAGGGTCACAGAGCTTTTCAGCGGTAATGGAGATCTTCAAAAAGAGGAAAACACACAGACTAGGAAGTGTTTTTTTTTTCTTTGTTAGTATTCAGGAAAAGCAGCATTTTTCTGCAGCATTTCAAGGGAGTAAATAATCAAGAACATGATGCTGAAAGAACTGGGAATGGGCCAGAGAACATGGGTGTGAGGCAGGGAATGCTCAGATTGCAGGCAGGGTTTGAGGAAAGTGATGGAGGCTTCTCAGTCTGAGATGGATGAGGAGCAGTGAACTGCAGCCTGTGCAGATGGGGATGCTGTCCTGGGACAATGTGGCAGCCCAGATCTCCTCCTCTGGGTTTGCTGTGCTGGGAATTTCTTGCTTCCACCAAAGGATGCCTATTAGTTTCTCCTTTTTCTTGTCTGGGCTCTCAGTGGAAGGATCACACCCCACGAGGCTCTGAAGATCCTGTCATCATGGCTTTGTAGGAACTCCCAGGTGATGCTGGGCTGGAGGTTATCCAAGGTGACACTGGGATGTTTGGGACTTCCAAGCTGACACTGGCCTGGAGATCCATCTGGGACTGTTCAGAATGCAGAAAAGAAGGCTCAGGGGAGACCTTATTGCTTTTTACAACTCCCTGAAAGGAGATTCTAGTGAGGCAAGTGCTCGACTTCTTCTCCCAGGTAACAGCAATAAGATAAGAGAGACCTCAAGTTGCACCAGGGGAGGTTCAGGTTACTAGGAAATTAGTCTGAAAAAGTCTGAAAAAGTGATCAGGCACTGGAATGGGCTGCCCAGGGAGGTGATTGAGTCACCATCCCTGGAGGTGCTCAAAGAAACGTTCAGATGTTGTACTGAGGGACACAATTTAGTGGGGAAATATCAGTGGTAGGTGAATGGTTGGACTGGATGATTTTGAAGATCTTTTCCAACCTTGGTGATTCTATGATTCTATGATCCTCCATGATGACAGGGGTGTGGGGCTACTTCCAAGGTGACACTGGGTTGGAAGTCCTCCCAGCTGACACTGAGCAGTTTTTGATCTCCAAGGCTCAGGAACAACTCAAGGCTTGGCAGAAACATGAGTTACTCCAACAAAAGGAGATGTGGGGACTCTGCCCTGACTTTGATCCATCAACTACAGACAAGAACCCTTCCTACAGATCTGATAAAATCCTCATTTTGATGAAAAGAAGTTGGAAGAAGGGCAGAGATCTGAACCACCAGCTTTTTAATACAAAATTGAAACCACAGATAACTCAGAATTTGTTAATGACTGTTTATAAGGGAAAAGACTTCTTTGTAAAGACAAAAAGGGTTGCAGCATTCAACTCTTTGTTTTGTTCTTGCTTTCTTTTTTATTTTTTTCCTGGGAGTTGTAATGTTCACCTGCATTGCCATACAGGAGCCAGAAGAAATGATTCAGAAGTTAAACATTGCTGTGAAGAGACCATCAGTCTCACCAGCATGTGCAAGCTCATAACTCCAGGCATGTGTGAATGCATTTTTGTTTTGCAGGAATTTGTCTCTGCTCCAGGGTGCTGCAAGAAGCAGCCCTGCAGAGGAAGGGTGCAATGTGAGCAGATCCCAGCATTCAATCGTCAAGTATTAATGGGCCAGGAATGCTGCAGCTGTAAAATATGGAAAGAAAATCATTCTGCTTTGCAGAAGGACCTCGCTGAGGATGACTCCACCAGCACAATCCACCAATCTATCACCTCCCAGAATCCCACATGAGAAGGTGGGATAATTACTATAATTTTAATGTACTCCAAGATGATTTAAATACACTCAGTAACCCAAAAATATCCTGCTTTTCCGTGAAAGCTCTGACTTTCTGAGGTAATGCTGCCCCAGAGCTGCTGATGGTTCACATGCCAGCCCCTTCTATTGCCCCTCTGGGCTCTATAAACCATGTCACAGCTCTTTCCCCTTGGCCTCGTGGAAAGTCTTTGCCTCCTGCGTTTTGCACATCTCTCTTTTGGGAAAAATAAATAAATATATATATGTATGTATTTCTCTTGCAGCCTGGAGATCAGACAGGGAACCATGAATCCCACGGCTGTGCTGGAGCCCCAGAAGGACAGAGGATGGAGAAGAGGACGTTAGAGACAGGGTGGGGACCATGGAGCCCGGGCCAGATGAATGCTTCAGTATGCTTGGAAGTGTCAGTGAAGCAAATAGAGTGTTTCTAACACAGTCCTGAGCATTGAAAAATAGTGCTTAAATTGCCTCCAGAACCGACGTGAAATCTGAAGATTTGGGAATATCTCTTGTGATTGATTGAGTGACTGATAGATTTGCTGATACGTGTGCTATACGTGTGTGTTAGGACTTGATTCAGCTGTCCAAACACAGTTTCTTTGAGCCAAGCTGGATGTTAGAAGCTCCCAGACTCCAGCTCTTCCTTCTGAAAAGCACTCATCTCCCCTCAGATGTGTCACTTTGCCAGGCCTGTGGGATGCTTCAGATGCACAAGGGCATCTTGGATGGCACCAGGCTCTGCGCGTGGGCAGCCAAATCCCACCCTCTGAGTCAGAAAGATTGCCTTCTCAAGGTTTTCTCTACAGTCGCTGGGATCAGAACTCTGCCTTCAAAATAAATAACATCCAAAGCCACGATTCCTGGATGGTCAATTAATTTTGTGGGGGCTGGTTTGGAAAGATTCTGAAACCCAATCCTCTCTGTAAAATTGAGAGTCTTGGCAGCTGTGTCAAGAAGCAAAGTGTATATTTTCTCTAGAATGATTTCTACCATAATAAGAGAAAACAGCTATAAGAAAGAGCCTCTTCTCCTTTTATTTATTTTCAGAGGTCTCCAAGGGTCTCTTGTTTGTCCCTCTTCCTGCTGGAAAGCAGAAAAACCTAAGATGAGGTTGAGTCTCATGTTTATTTGCACAAGAGCAAAATTATTAGATAGCCTCTCATGACTATGCTAATCCATGGGGTTTCAGTAACATGGATGTTGATCATACCTGTCCTATGGATAACTCATTGAATGAAACGAGGTGAAAGCTGCTAACCCTGCATTAGGAGCTGGGTTGGGTTTTGAGCAGTAATGGGAAGGCTTCTGGTTTGAGCTTTTCTTTGGTCTTGAGCAAAGAATGAGATGCAAATTGCCCACTCTGAACTGACAGGCTTTTCCATTCATTTCTAGGGTCTTCTGCATCAAACTTGCAGGGCAAGCACACAAAAGAAAACAAAGAATTGCACAAACTCCAGCTGATATGAAACCGATGACCTTTGTTCTGCTCCTTGGTTAACCACCATGAAATTATTATTGCAGAGATAAGCATCATAAATTTTTGTCTGGCTTTTTGCCTAGATCCTGTTTAACAGTATTTCTTGGTAGTTTCTTAGTAGATACTTTTTAGCCCTGGCACCATTCCTGGAGTACCGGCAATTAATCAGATTAACATTTATCTTTAGAAATAGCGAGGTATTCAGCCTCCCCAGCTGAATGCTGCAGAATGCAGGGAGAGCCTGCAATAGAGCAGAGCAGCAGGGCAAACCACACAGATGTCAGAGAGACCACTGATCTCCCAACGTTCCTTCCAGTATGGATGTCTAGGACTTCTCACTCTGGTAAATTCATGCCCATCATTTCCAGACTTTGCAGAGGTGAGAGCTATATGCCTAATTTTAAGCTTTGCTTCTTATGTTGAGTTGTTGAAGTGATGCTAAGTGAAGCTTTTCCTCCAGCTTGTTCCAGGGGATGTTCCTGCATTGAAGGGATGCTCAAGACCTTCATTCACTCTGCTGCATTTATTACCTAGGGGTACCATGGTATCCTGCTCCACTGAGAACCCAAATCTCTCAGCCCAAATTTGGGATGAATAAGGGCAGAAACAAAAGCCAGGACATGGAAAATGGAGGGCAACACAGTGATTGTGAGCTGTGACCCCAGGGGAAGCTCGTGGGGTTAAACCACTGCAGGAGGAAGCGCTGGGGGACCATGGAGAATGAGGAAGGTAAGGGCAGGAATAGGGGGAGCCTGAGGAAAGAAATGAAGGGTATTCACAGAGAATAGCAAAGGAAATCAGCATCCTGGGAAATGGCTTCCATCCAGCTGCCAGGGAGAGCACTGCAGAACCAGGACTACCCTTCAGGTAAAGCAAATGTTTTTATTTGGGGTCCATGTTAGCCATGAGCTGCATTTTGGTGGAATCTATTGGTCCAACCTTAAAAATGAACTTGTAAAATACAGAGCAAAGAAGCTGTTTATGGCTTAAAGAGCAAGGAAAGTCCTGCTCCTTCCTACTAAATCACTCCACAGATTCATGTGTTCCTCATCCTTTCAGCCTGTAGTCCCCAGCTACCAGAATCTCAAGCAATGTTTTTTGGAAAGGTGCTGGGGATGTATTTATCTCTTTCTGAGATGACACTGATGACAAATGTCTCTCTTTTCTTTCTTTTTTTTTTTGTTTAATAAATTATTTGGTCTTGAAAGCTTGGCCCTTTTAGTCCTGGCTGCTTTACTATCAACAGGAAGCCTATGGCAATAGCTCACAAGAGTCAGACCTTGAGAAGATGTCTTCCACCAGACATTTTGAGGTTTTAATCATTTTCGGTGTTCCTCATTATTTCAGCTAATAAATCCAGGGTGGTTACAGTGATGATTCATGCAGGATGCATCCTGTTTCTTCTCTCCCACATCTTGCTGGCAAAAAGCTGCTATGGATTAGGAACCTTGCCCTTCATTTTTGGAAATTTCTCTCCCACTACAGGCTTCCAATGAGAATTGCTGTGGTATTTCACTGTGTGCTATTTCAGAGCGCTGGCTTTTTTGACGCAGTCATCATCTATATGGAAAAGAGGTGTATACATGAATCAGTAGTATAGTTCAGCTGCATCTGCATTAGAAAGGCATAAAAATGAGTGAAACTCATTTTTATAAACATAACTGCAGTAGTTGAAATGCGTTCTTCTTTGCGATGCCAAGTCGGCAGTTCAGATACACACCAAGACACTTTTCAGACAGGAAGTGCAGAATAAACAAGGTCCTACAATTTCACACCACAGCTTCTACATTTCTATTTGTACCTCTGGTGACTGGAATGTGTCATGGTTTGGGGGAGCTTCCTGAAAGTTGGCTGATATGTCTTTCATCTGTACTTTTTTTTTTCTGCCTCTAGTTGCAGAAAATTCAGATGCCTTTCAGCATAGACCAAAGGACAAAGGCTTTTTTCCTCCATAAAAGGCAGCAGAACAATCTATTCTTTATTATATTCATACCAAAATATTGGTCCATGAGATTTTAGGTTGTCTTTAGGAGAACTTTGCACGTGTAAAGTTTTCTGCTCTTGGTCTGTCCGGTCACTGATTGGGATAGTAGAGCCACCCAACCAATACCTCTCCTGCTGGTTTTCTTGATCAGTGAACAAACAGAGCAATAAAAAGCTCAAATCCTCAAGGAACAGATGGTCTTAGTTGGGAAATATTTTTCCTTGTTCTTCAGTAACTGAGGAAGAAATCACATATCCTCACCTTCACACAGCTGAATCCCATCACCTGCTGCACCTCAGATGCCAGAAGCTAACACGTGAGCACAGCCTACATCTCACCAAGAGAGGGGAACACAAGAGCCAAAGCAAAAGGTGAGCTTCTGCCTCTGGGCTGTTCTCGGGACTCTGCTTATGAAAGGGGAGAGCAGTGAGAACTATTGGAACACGATTTCAATTTGATTTTTAAAGTAGGTCAGATAAATCTAACATCTTCCTACCAGTGGCTTTAAAGAGAGCCTGGAGTGCAGCTGTAGGTATCTACCGTGTAAAGGTTAGGCAAGATGAATCTCACCCTTTTATTGCAGAGACCTGAATATATTCTTTACTTCCCTGTGTGGACTGGGTAAAGGGAACAAGACCAAAGCGTATTCCATTAGGCTTAATCAGTATTGTCTCCATCTCCTACTTAGCCAACAACTGCTGGAGACGGCAGAAACTTGATTTGGCTTATCACTCTCCAAACTGTGCTTTAATGGCTGAGCTTTTCCTGGAGTTTTCAGGTTATGAGTCAGCAGGAACATCCTCACTCCAGTTTTCGAAGTAGGAGGCATGTATGTCTGCTCATTGTCAAGAGCACAGAAGATAGTAGGTAGAAGAGGAAATGAGCAGCCAGACCTACTCAATATTAACAGCTCTGCAGTGCTGGGGGCATGTTCAAGCAAGCTTATCTCCCCCTAAAACTGGCAGGCTGAGTAAAAGCACTTGGTAGAATAGTGACCCCAGGGAGGATGAGATACCTCCTGCATAATTATCTCCAGTCAGGGTCTGGCTCTGCCACAGTAGATGTTAATCTTTTACACCCACAGTCAAATAGCCCTTGTGGTGAAATGAGTGAATGGAAGGCAAAGGAATGCAATGTTCTTGTTCTGCACGGTTCAGGATCAGATGCATTAAGCGCTGGTAGCTCCTATTGCAGCACACAGAGCTGTGCCTCATCGCAAGGCTATATCCTGTTGGCAGCACAGCAACCACAACCTCACAGCCGAAACTCACATCGAGCAACCTCTGCCCTGAGGATGTTGTAACTACTGAAGGCGAGTGAAAGAAAAAAGAATAAAAAAAGAAAAAACGCAATAAAGATGTGTTGGGAGAGCTCTAGGCCTTGGTTCAGCAAAGACTTTGAGAACATGTTTCAATTGAACAAGCCATAGCACTCACTGCCATTAATAGATCTTAAGTATTTTTTAATGAAAATAAGCTGTCATGATATATCTACTTTAAAAAAAAAAAAAAAAAAGACAATAAAATAGAACCAACTCCAAAATTATGGAAATAATCACCAGTAACTTACAGATTAATTGACTGGGAGATAATGTGGGAGATATTATTGGTTTCTGAAGGATATTCATCAGGTTATTAAGTACTGGGATCAATAACCACTCTCTGGTAAAACCCAAAGTTGTTGTCAGAAGCAACCACAGCATTTCCAGCAATTGTTGCTCATTTCATATTTATGAGAGCACGGTCACAAAAGCCAACTGGAATTCAGCCCTGATCTGACCTGATGCCATATCTATGGGAGATGCATTCACATCATCTGAACCTGAAATTTCATGCAATGAAAATCCTCTTAGGAGAATGAATATCTTTTTTCTCCAAATTGCTGACTTTTAGGACTCTTTGATGGTCCTGGTTTTAGCACTGGTTTTGGACTGATGATGTTTCCATGTCATCATTGCAACCTTTATTTCTACAGACTCCTGAGACTGCTGGCTTAGGTGGAGAGATCACTTTTCATATGACCCTTAACCTTGGTCTTCCTGTTCAGGCTTAGAAGCCTTTAGAATCATAGAATCATTAAGGTTGGAAAAGACCTCCGAGATCGTCTAGCCCAGCTGTCCCCCTATCACCAGTATTACCCTCTAAACCATGTCCCTCAGTGCCACATCTCCACATTTCTTGGGCAGTGACAGCACCACCTTCCTGAGCAGCCTTTTCCAGTGCAATGCCACTCTTTTTGAGAAGATATTTTTCCTAATATCCAACCTTAACCTCCCCTGGTGCAACTTGAGGCCATTCCCTCTCATCTTATTGAAGACATTAAGTACAAGCAAATGTAGCTGCAATGAAAAAAAGTATGAATATATAATCTTGCATTTGTGAGGAACGTGCTGC